CCCAAAGCAAATGAGGTTCAGAGAGATACATGGCCATCAATTAGCATATTTCACGCCTACCAATTTATATCTGTACCATCATGAAGATTAGTGTTTACCTGGATTTACCAGAAGTCATCAGGAAAAACTTGGTCAATGTATATCTCTATCATCATGAAGATTAGAGTTCACCTGGATTCAGGCAGCAAATCCGCATGAGGAAGACTACATCAACATTTGTGCTCAGTGCTCACACCATCTCAATGCTAACCATACTGCATTCTACCCTTCCACAAATGCTATTGTTCAGCATGCATGTGAACTCTTGGACAAAAAACTGGCGCATGAGATTTACCAAACAGTACACTGTAATACAATTGCGGCTATTGGATGCAGCACTTAATATTTTAGCATTAAAATCATGTCCGCCGCTTAATCAGCAGGGGGTTTACAGTAATTTGTCAGCCATGCTCCATGGTGCCATGTGGTCAGGACAAGAGCAATTTGCCAAACATGCATCACCGTGGCATTCCAGCCAAGTAAACTCATAGGCCTCATTCCACCAGAAACTCCCCCCTGTAGCCAACATACTGTAATCTTTTTGGTATAAGTCAGCATTAGTCCTCATGAACTAGTGCTTTGCATCTGTTCTCCAAAAATACAAGGAACCCAGGATCGCGAGGAATGTACATGGCCATCATTCAGAAAGTCATGGAACTCGGGCCTCGGATTGTTAGCCCACTAAGCCATCAGCAGAAACTTGATCCAAGAATATTTCTGGCCAGTGGTCACAGCTGACAAGTTGCATCACACAGACTAGAATTTGTCTGGATTGAAAAACCAAGTCTTTATGAGGAGAATTACATTAACAGCATGCTCACATCACGTAAATACAGTATCATATTAAACGCTTTCTGCTGCATAATCCAATTTGTTCAGCTCTTCCACAAATGTTCTCGTTCATCATGCATGGCGATAGCATCATGCCATCGTCACTGCTGTAATCACCTAAGCAATTATGTAGACCACCCATTGAGAATTTAAGAATATTTGAATTCATGGGATGATTAAAACAGTTTAGCAACTTAAGCAATGCTTCTTGAGAGCCCATAAACAAGAGATCGACATGTATCACTGCTTGGGACAAAACCCAGTTCCAACATCCTGTTCTGCAATTCCAATGACTCTGTGGTGCTCCTGGTCATACAGTAAGCTCTCATCAGAGTATTATAGCTCTTATTGCAGCAAACCTGCAAATCAAGAACAAAAGCCTTCAGGATCAATTCTGCTTTATTAAGAGAACCTTCCTTGCAGAACCCACAAACCAAAGCAGCACAGATAGTCTCATTCGGCTGGAGACCTGACTCAATCATCTCTGCCATAACCGATTTGCCATCTGAGCTCCTCCTCACCCTGCAAAGGCAGGTCACTAGCGTACGGTAAGTATCAAAATCTGGCTTCACTCCTCTAGAGCTCATCTCAACCTTTATATCTAAAGCCTCGTCCACACTGCCGCACTGGCAAAAGCAATCTACTACCATATTATACATCTCCAAGCTAGGACTGTGCCCATCCTCTATCATCCACTGGAACAAACACCTGGCAGCATGAGGACGCATATCCTCGCACAATGCACCAATCAAGCAATTGTAACTCTCCAATGGGATGACAACACCATATTTCCTTAAAGGCGACACCATATTCAAGCAAGTGAGCAGCTTCCCAATTTTGACATGACTCTCAATCACACTCTTGAGAACGGATCCTTCAGACGAGAGTCCTTTTCCTACCATCTCCATTAGCAGCAACCTCGCCTCCTTCACTCTGCACTCATTACAGTACCCTGCGATAAGAACACTATAAGCTACAGCATCGGGGCTCACCCCGCTGTGGACCATCCTGTCAAACATGCGTCTAGCGTCGCTCAATCTCCCGGCTTTGCACAGCCCGTCCATCAGGACAGTATGTGACACTAAGTCTGGTTCAACACCCCTGGGCGGCATAACATCAAACAGGTGAAGAGCGTCCTGCAGCCTCCCCCTGCGGCAAAACCCAACAAGAAGGGTGTTGTAAGTCACCACGTCTGGCTCGAAACCTTGCTCCTCCAGCTCCTCTATGAAGCCCTGCGCGCGCTCGGCGTCTTCACCTCGGCAGAGCGCGGCGACGAGGATGTTGAACGTGTGCGCGTTGGGGCGCACCCCAGCGCGCGACATGGCAGCCCGCGCGGCCCAGAGATCATGGAAACGCTCCGTGCGAGAGAGCGCGACGAGGAGCGCGTTGAAGGCGACGGTGTCGGGAGGGAAGCCGGAAGCGGACGCGCGCAGGGCGGCGTGGAATGCGTGGCGAAGGCGGGCGCGGCGGAGGAGCGCCTTGACGAGGAGGCCGGGGAGGGAGGGGTGGGGCGCGGTCTGGTAGGAGAGGAGGAGAGTGGGGAGGGCGTCGTGGGTTGGGTGGAGGCGGAGGAGGTGGGTGAGCGCGTCGAGCGCGTGGGAGAAGAAGCGGGTGGTGGCGAGGGAGTGCGCGAGGAAGGCGAGGTGGGGAGGCGACGGCTGGAGCGGCGGCGGCAGTGCGATGAGGAAGCGGAGGGTGGGAAGCGGGTGAGAGTGGCCGGCGTGGAGCACGACGGCGGTGAGCTCGTCCTGGCCGAGGTAGGGGAGCAGGCCGGAGAGGTCGAGGGTCTTGGTGGGTTCCGCGTCGGCCGTCAGGTGGGTGGTGATGAGGTCGACGACGGCGACGTGGGGATTCAGGGCGCGCGGGAGGAGGGAGGTCAGGGTGCTCGACGGAATGCGCGACACGGTCTTGGACATGGTCCCCCTGCCCTGGGCCTGGCCTTGGCTTGGACACTTCAAACCGAAACCCTCCGACTCCGATCGCGTGTTTGTTTGGTGGGAACTAAAATGGGGAATGGGAGTTGAGCGGCAAGGAGAATAAAAGTTCATTGATTGTTTAGAGGGAATGGGAGTTTAAATCTAGATCGGTAATGCTGACACGCACAGTATTTGAAGGATTTATAACAGAGTAGCAATCACACACTTATTATATCGAATGTCTCAAAAAAGAACTTATTACAATAAAAATTGCTTAAGGCCATCTAATAACGATAACAGCGGAAGGCTTGGAGGAATAAACGAGTTCATTAACTCCAACGACATCACTGAGTATAAGACCATGACCTAAGGCACCTTGTTCGTCGTCTGAAAAGTCTGCAACATGAACGTTGCAGCCTGAAAACGGGTCAGCACATGAAATATGATGGCAATGTAACACATAGAAAGTAATGAACAGAAATAAGGCTATCACTACATGCATATATGGCTGGTGGAAAGTTCTATGGTTACAGTTTTGCATAAAGCCAATTTTTCCTGCAACAAAAGAATAAATTTTATTTAACTATCATGGTGGTTGTTGAACATTGAGAAGGTTCACCCAACTCAATCCCAATTAAGCATCATTATTAAACCCAAATAGAATTAATTAAATAACATGATGATATTCACATGATAATCCAGGTACTAGATACTCAAAACGTCCATAACCGGGGATACGGCTAACCATGATTAGTTTATACACTCTGCAGAGGTTTGCGCACTTTTCCTCGCAAGACTCGATCTCCTCCATTGGATTTCTCGCACTACATGGTGTTTGAGAAATGGATGACCGAGACATAGTCTTTCAGAAGCATTAACTATTTACTCTGGATAGACAGTACCAACCTACATCCCCTACATCTGCTAGTCTACCACTGAAAGAGGTCACACAATATACTCAACTATGCTAGAGCCCATAGTAGCTTGCGGCTGCACACGGAAGTTTTTAGCATGAATAATCTCATGATCCCTTTGAGCCTGGGTGGCGGTTCATAGGAGAATCACACGGTACCCCGGGATTTCCAAAAATACAGGCAACATTGGGTTCCCCAGGTGCCTCAATCCACCCAGATGTGTATTAAAGTTGCCACCTTATGTAAACCATTAATTAACAATCTCACATCTGTCATGGATACACTCACCCAATCCACGTCTACTAGCATAGTATAGCAATATAAGCAAAGTAGAAGTAACTCCCAAAGGTTGATAATAAAACAGGTAATAGGTTCTACCTCATCTACTTCCCAAAACCCACATATTAATCAGATCCTAATCATGCAATTGTTTAAGGATTGATCTAATGCAATAAAACTGGGTAGTAAAGAGGTATGATCAAAGTGTTACTTGCCTTGCTAATGATTCGTAAAACCTAGAGACTCGTAGTAGCAAGCGGCGCACTCCGGGTACTCTATCGCAAACAAACAAGCATACAATAAGCACTCATCTAATGCACGGGTAAAACTCAAATAAGAGATATAACCAGAAAGTTCAACTTAAGAACTTCGGTTTGCAAAAAGAATCAAATCAAACAAAGCAATGAAAGTCAAACGACGAAAGAAACAAGCTTCGTTTACTAATCTGGACCTAAGTCAAATTTTACACTAGCAAAAACTTGTTTGAGTTGGTTAAATAGAAAGAGGGTTTCGAGACGGAACTCTAGGCGCTTGAATCGCCTCCAACAAACGAGCGAAAAGTTATACTAAAACGAAAATCGGATCAGAAATCGCGATCGGAAATAATCGCGGAAAATCCGAGAAAAAGAAAAAGGACGAACAGGCTAACGAACGAACGTTCGCTGTCTGCGGCTAAACGATGAAAACCGTTTGTTAAATGAACGTACGGACGAACGTCCGTTAAATAACTAAACCGAGAAAATCGATGAACCGATCTAAAAGAACGGATCTAGGGTTCTTAAAAAAACGGATCGGTTTGAAAAAAAACGGCGGCGGCTACCTCGGGTCCGGCGAGGTGGCGGCGGGGTCCGACGGCTCCGGCGGAGGCGGCGCGGGGCGG